AGAAAAACCTCTTCATGACCTTCCTCCATTTAAACTTTGACCTGAGAGCGCCCTCCTTTCAAAGTCAAGACAACCTGCGCATGCTCATTTTGTGGCATCATTGCATTTTCTGTCCCTGGGATTTTTTTTTGTGCAATTAAGCTGAGCGTCTCCTTCGCCCTTCTGACTTCCACGTGTTTATTTGTACACTCTGCTGCGTAACATGTCCTTTTTAATAGTCCCTGTTTTCAAACCGAGCTGTGCTGTAATTAAATGTAGCTAGGCCATTACAATCACAGGCTTTGAAAGCACAACATACATGCTAAAATATCTGCAGCAGATACTGTAAATTTAATCTCCACTTGACAACAAGTCATGCATTTTATCAAACAGCTGCTTGTTGGCAAAGATCAACTTCTGATTTTCCGAGCTTCCCTAATTAGACGTAATCACAAACAGGATCCACACACATGAAAACAATTTGAGCGCCTGCTTGTTTTGATGTCTATCATATTGTTTTAAATGGTTTCAAATAAGTAGCATTTGTGATTTTATGGCCGGTTCTGCTATTACTGTTTGTCTTCCATAGAAGAAACACAGGGCGCAGCTGCTTGGATCGTCTTTGGCTACATACTGCCCCCTAGTGGTGAGGCGCTGCATTGTCAGTCCTTATGCTGCACCTGGGTGTTTAACACAACTTTTTAAAGATGCCAAGTAACTGGATGGAGGCCAGCTTCCACATTTGAATCAACTAAATGTTTTGTTGGGAGATTATAAAATGAAGTAAACTAAATTTGCTAAACAATTTAAAGAACTCAGAAACTACCTGAAGTTAAGTTTGAATACAATTAAAGACAGTTAAGAACACTTTGAATGAGTTTTATGATTTTAACACACAAAGTCTGAATTCTTCTTCCTCAAAAGAACCAGACTCAACAAACATGCTAATGTTTTTCATTTAAGATGTAAATGCTATAAAAAAAAAAACACTAACAATTGTTGATCTCAGTAAAGTTTTCCATTTCAAAAATAAAAATATGCCACTGGAAACCCACTAGCTGCTCCACAGATAAAACCCTACTGACAAATGCGTCATGCATCTGCGCCTCCTTGTGAGTGCATGGCATGGCAGTAGCGCCCAATCATACTGATTGTTAATAAAACATGAGTGAATGTACAAGTTTTGCTTTTAGTATGCATGCCCTGAAAAACACATTTGTAGCAATATTAATTTGCACAACACTGACGTTCAGTTGTGCCACCCATGCAAGAGCTGCATTCAAGGATTTGTGATAACTGCTAATGAGTCTTTTATATCACTGTGGAGAAATTGTGGCCCACTCTCCTCTGCAGAATTGTTTTAATTCAGTCACACTAAAATGTTTCAAGCATGAACAGCCTGCTTAAGGTCATGCCGGAGCATCTGAATCGGAATTAAGTCCAGACTTTGACTCGGTCACTCAAAGATGTCAAGTTTGACTTTTTGAGACTTTCAGAGGAGGACTTGCTGTTGTGTTTTGGATCATTGTCCTACTGCATAACCCAAGTGCCCTTAAGCTTCAGGGCTTGAGTTGATATCTAGATATTCTTTTTCATGATTTTCTGGTAGCGAGCACAATTCATGGTTTCATCAATTACAGCAACTCGTCCAGGGCCTGAAGCAGCAAAGCAGACCGAGACCACCATGCTTGACTGGTGGTATGAAGTTCAACTGACTTTCATCAGTCCACAGAATATTTTCCCAAAGATTTCAGTGATCATCAAGATGTTTTTCTTTTCTTTTTGTGGGGCCAGTAGTGGACTTGGGCTTGGAACTCTTCCCATGGACACAATTTCTTATTGTTGAATCATGAGCTCTGACCTTAACTCTGGCAAGTGGAGGTCTTTAGATGTTGTTCTAAGTTCTTCCTTCTGGGTGAGTCATCCATCACTCTTAGAGTAATTTCAGTAAGATGGCCACTCCTTTCAAAGGTTCTCAATTGGGCTTCACTGGAGTCCCAAAGCCTTAGAAATGGTTTTAGAATCCTTTCCAGCCGGTAACATGTCAATGACTTTGTTTTGTCAGTTGTTTCTTTAGATCATGGCATGGTGTGTTGCTTTATGAGCCTGCTTCACTTTGTGACAAGGTTCTATTAAAGTCATTTCTTGATTCAGCAGGTCTGACAGTGATCAGGCCTGGGTGTGACTAGTGAAACTGAACTGAGCTTTCCAAAAATTCTGGTTATTTATCTTTCCTAATATGTTTTTTAAAATATCTGAAATATGTTAGTGTGATAAGTGTTTTAAAAAAAATCAAGAAGGAGACGTATACATTTTCACTCAAACTCAAATTTTGGGTCATAGTTTTTGTTGATACTGCATTATTCCTGAAACAATCATTTTATCCACAGATTTGATCATTTGATCATGAACACAACAAAAATAAACTTTATTATTCTGATGCATTTCCTGTTGTTGTGAACAATCAGCAGAAATTACAATTTTCACCAGACTAGCACCAGACTAACAAGAAGAATTTGTTTTTAAAGGTAGAAATGCATGAAATTAAAGCTGGAATTATTGTAATTAGTCGAACAAGAAGGTGCCAGAACTTAGTGCTCAGCCCGTGAATATTAGTAAAGTCAATAAAAATGCTAGGGTTAGGGTTAAAAAAAATGTATTGAATTGAAATCAGTTGACATTTTAAGTTTAATGGCCTTTTTCTTTCTTACAGTGTGCATGTCAAAAGATGTCTCCTACTTAAAATCTCCTGCTTCGGATTTGTATAAATAATGTTATTGAACAATAACAAGACTTCCAGTCTTTTAAAGCTAATTGCTCCAAAGAAAAAGTGTTGCTCTCATTAGATTAGATCTACAAAAGGCATAGAAGTTAAAGATTCAATATTATTCACATGCAGATAACACTCTAAGCAAGAGGTTGTGGCTTGTTCACATTCATTCATAATAAAGGTCAGGCACATTTTAAAGCTTTATAAACACTCCTTAAACCTTGCTCAAGTAATCAGTAGAGAACACAGCTGCACTGCACTTGGAAAATTAGAGTAATTGATGCCCCCAAAGCAGGAGAAGGCTGCAAGAAGACAGTAGGAAGATGGATGTTTCCTCAGTTAGAAGTGCAATTAAGAAATGTTAGTTAACAGGAACGGTGGAGGCCAGGCTGCGGTCAGGAAGACCTGGAAACTTTGAGAAAATTGCTCATAGAATCGCTAGAGAGGCAAATCAAAAGCGCAGTCTGAGTGCAAAAGACCTTCATGAAGATTTAGAGTGGTGCCACTGCATTCTGCTGTGTTCAAACAACAACTGTAAATCCCCCCCAAACAAGAACTGAAAGACTCATAGCACCACAGAAAGCACCTTCATGCTGTGATCCTTGCCAAAGGGCACGCTGCTAAGCGCTGACCTATCTTTGCTGTGGGCCATTTTTTCTTTTTTATGTTGAAATTGTGGAATATGCAAATTAAAGAAAAGCAATTTGCATGAAATATTAAATCAAATGTATCCTCTTTAACTCTGTGCCTTTTAGAAATCAGGACATCTTTATTGGCCATTCAGAGTCATTTTGACGAGCACTACTGCCCAAACGTCTGCACGGCACTGCACGCAGAGAGAAAAGCAGGCCATGCGAGTGCAGCAGAGGACTTGCGCTGCCTGTCTGAACCAGCTCTGAGTTATTCATAAGGTCGCTCACTGATGTTGGATGATGAGTTCTGGCTCGCAGTCAGTGTTCTAGCTCATCTCAAAGGTTTTGGATGGGGTTGAAGTCAGGTCTCTGTGCGGGCCAGTTCTACACAACTTCTTTATATTTCTTTATATGGCTGTTTTTGTTGGTTGGAAAAAAGGGAAATGTAACAATTTCTTGACTGAAAGAACTCTTGAGTTCCGTTTGACGTCTTCTATTTAGTGGATCTGTCCTTAGAAAATGTTCCCCTGGAGTCAGATACTTTTTCTGTGTTTTACACGCTATTAGTAGAAACGCTGTTATTGGAAAGTTGATGGACCAACACTTACTTAGCTGATGTCTCCACTGGCATTATTTATAATAGCTTCAGGATGGAAAGATGAGCATTCTCAAAACAGATAAAATACAGTACCGCCCCTCATTTCTTTATATTTTGCTATATATATGTAATGTGTGTGTGTGTAATATATATATATCAGTAGTTATAGTTATATATTATATATATATATATATATATAATATATATATATATATATATATATATATATATACATATATATTACATAAGGCATAAGGCAAAAACAATTGTACAAGCTGGAAAGTTAATATTCAGTATGACCACCTTACCAACTTTCTAAGGCAAGCTTTCTTGTCATCTCCGTAAGGACTCTTCAGTAATACTTCTTCTTGTCTTGTACTTGTCCTTTTTATTTTGCAATTATGTGGAAGTCTCCCTCAGTCCAGCATCCATCTTTTAACAAGTTCTTTCACTACAAAGAGAGCTCCAAGTAAGATTTCCCCTCCAACGTCCTTCATGGCACACTGAAAGTCACAGTAACAGCTCCCTCTCCTGGTCATACCATGAAATGACTTGTCACGATCAGTGTAAAGGTGTTTATGGTGGTTCTCTTTTTTCAGTAATTTTTGCTCAGCATATCAAATTCTCCTCTTGTGTGCTACATCTCATTTAAGGTGCAATCCCCAGCTCCTCGCTGATATTTTTTTTTTTTTTTTTTTTTTTTTGGGTGGGGGAGATGTGCCGCATCCTTGATTGCAGACTACACAAGTATCAAAGCATACGCCTTGGGTAATACAAGAAATTAGTTTTATTTTTAATACAGGGGGGGGAAAAGAAGAAGATCAAAGCAATCAATGTTGGCATCCACACAATCTCCCCTCCACACACACAGACACACACCTAAAAACACAGCTCTGGTTTTGGTTGCCAGCACAAAAAGTGGGGTTTAAGAAGCTCTTAAGAGGCCAGAAGGAGGAGCAGGAGAGTCTGGCTCGATGTGAGGAGAGGCAGTCGGGGGGGAACAACAGATGTTCACAAGACACAGGTATACATTTTTTATTTGTTGAGTCAGGATGTTTGTGTTTGTAGGTCTACTTGTCATCATTTCCTCATGTTTTGTTCCATGTTCTGCATGCCAACATTTCTGCTTTCATTCATAATAGTTTATCCAAACGTCTCCTCACTTCCTGCCCCGTCCGCTGTCCTTAGCATCACCGGCATTGCGGCATTTCTGCTATAAATTGTCATAAAACAACTCAGATCTAGATGTTTTGTTCTTCCCTTTCTATTGTGCATTTCTTTAAGAGGATTTATACTGTATTCTTGTTCTCCCAAAACATTCTTTTAAAACCCATTCGCTATCCCGATGAGTAGTAGGAAATGTAAGGTCTTATGAGGAGTTACTATAAGGCAATAACACTCCGAGATTTCATTTATACTCACTGAAATCTGAAAAAGCACAAAAAAGGGTCAAGTCTGGCTCCTCAGGGTCACACTGTGACATTTCGAGTATGGTGAATCAGATAAACAGCAGGCTTTAATGCTGACAAGTACGTCTTAACTGGCCTCTGCGACTGCACTCTTTAATCTGCCACATTTTTCTTTCCACTCTTCAATTTGACAAACAGGATTTGAAGTGAAGCCACCCACACAGTAAACAGCCAAGAGTGAGCTGCAAGTGGATGAGGCAGGTATTTACCACTCTGTGTGTTTACACATCATGCAATCTCTAACAACAGCAGCAGCACCAGCAGCAGCTGGTAGTCCGCTCTTCGTCTTCCAGCGTGGAAATGTCACCGGAGGTGAATGACAGAGGGCTTGTTTGCTTGGAAGCCAGCAGATATAGCTAGAAGTAGCTGTAAATGATAGCCCGCCCTCCCTGAAAATGGCAACCGTGGCTGCTCGGCTTTATTTGGCCATATAAGCCGCTACTTCCTTTTCCAAACTCTGGGCAAAGCGGTGGTTGAGGAAGAGCAGCTGGCCGTGAGGAAGCAGGCGACTGAGCAGGACGTCGATCCGGTTGCTCTTCAGCAGGACCTGGAGAGAAAAATGCCACAAGTGATGACCCCGAGCAGGCTTCTCGATTAATCAAGAGATGCTTAAAAGCTGGTAATAAGAATGCGCGCTGCTGCAATCTAGTTTCATTACTGCTGAATTTTGCTTTATTGATATTTTTCATAGCACGTAATGAGAGGCTGCTCTTGCGAGTCTCGATACCAGTGTTCGACAATCATCTTTCTTTGGGGAGGTAAACTGTTTAAGTTAATGGATTGCAGTCTGATGATGCCTTAGGACGCATATAGACACAAACACTCGCTACAGTTTCTGAATACAAATGCACTTTACAGCAGCTGGAAGATGCATGAGTCACAGTGATCTACTGTATGTTTGTGGTAAAGAAAAGATGTTTATGCAATTATTCCTGTCAGAAAAAAAGAAAAATTGGAGAAATGAAATAAAACAATACATTTTATCAACAGCTGGTCAGTGACTCATGGCTTCACTAGGTTTGTACAAGTCAAAAGGCTCAAGAGGTCTTTAAAGTTTCACTGTTGAGAATAACTTCAAAGCTAATGACATGTCTCAGTGTTCTTCACACACTTGTCACTGAAGCAGCCATCAGAGATAACACTTCTTTAATCTATGAAAGCCTTAAACAGTATATAAAAGAAGGCATTAACAGATGTGATGTTGCACTTCAGCTTGTGACATCCCCATGTTTAGCATTTTAGCTCACACCAAGATTAGCCAGAAGCAACTATATTTCGATGAGAGCGCTAAGCTATCAGCAGGTTTATCGCACAGGCGCTAAAAGTAAGTGCTGTGAAACACACAAACACATAAAACACCATAACTTCATTCATCAAAACTGAGAGAAAGACTTCTTGCATGGTCTGTCAGCACAATCAGTGACACATGGCCCCATATTACTTGTCAGATAATTGAACTGATGACACTCAAAAAGGCATCAATGCCAGAGTTCTCATCCAGTGACGTGAATTAACTGAGATGAAGCTCATGAAACTGCTGCTGGCTACGACCCCGCAGGCAGACGTCCACTTCTCAATCAAAGGGACAATACTCCCGATAATACAAAGTTTAAACCCAATTTAAATGGGTTTTACATATGAAAATTCATACCGCACCAGACCATAGCCATTTACAAATTACAGTAACTGGAATTGGCAAGTTTGAACTACAGTAATATGGGCACTTATTATAACTCTGTCATATTTATGAAATCTAAACTGTATTTGTGAAAATAGATCCTGAATACTCCAGACCAGGGGCCCGTTCTTCGTACCTCGCTAAGTAAGTTAGCTGGATT